CCCAGTCCCAGAATGTTTTGCTCACATTTCATACACACTGTTACATGGTGCACATTCAGCATGGTCAGTTTAAAACTATGAGTAATCTGTGCAAGTAATAATTTTTTTTCCCCTCCCTCTTGCTTTTGTATTTCCTCTGGCTTTGAGACAGCAACCCATACGGCTGCTGTTGAAACCTTTTGTTTTCAAATGTCAGCCAATCAGAAGACAGCTTCCTTAAGTAGTGGTTCTCCTGTTCGTGGCATGTCCCGCTTCCACAGCTGTGCCCCATATTCCACCAATGTTATTAATCATCACTAAAACAAAGGATCCAAGCTGAGTTTTAAGTATGATAGCAGTAGAAAAACATGAATTCAGCTTTACTTCATTTAGTAGTTCTTTCAGTTATCAGTGATGCTACTGTGGTTCTTTGTTCCACTATAGGTGGATATGTATATTTTGAAGTCTGAATCACAGAAAATAACTCGAGTAGAGTCAAAAAAAATAAAGATTTAGGGTAGACACATTGGTGTAAGTCTTTAGCTATGAAGAAGCAACAATGCGTAGCTCAATTAGCTTAACTAGGAAAGGGGAAACAAGGTAGAGCTCACCACAAAGAGGAATGGGGAAATGCACTCACTGGGAGCAGATATAGGTTACTGTTTTTAACATTTGGTTTCACTTCACTGATTAAGTTTTTTGAGTTATTTCTTCTGGATGGTACGTGCTACGCTAACAACAGCGTAGCACGTATTTCCTTTGTTGTATTTTTGACACTGCCCCCTGGTGACAGTAAACGGGTATGTGGGTCTGCACAGTGCTCTATGGCACCTGCAGGCTACAAATGCACTATCATGCTTGGAGCTTTATTCCTTTGCTCATCAGCTGATTATTTATTACAGTATTGTAGTTATTATGGGATGCTTTAATGTCTAAGCCCAAATTGTCAAACTGTTTAGGTTGATCTAATCCTTTAATCACATAAGTGATTATAAAATGTCAGAGCACTGATGAAATAATAATTTTGTGTCCGTCTCCTGCAGCTGACACTGAGGATGTGTGCATTGTGGAGCGTCTGTTCTCCAGCAGCCTGGTGGCTATAGTTAGTCTGAAGGCCCCCCGGAAGCTCAAAGTCTGTCACTTCAAGAAGGGAACTGAGATCTGCAACTACTCCTATTCAAACACTATACTGGCTGTGAAGCTCAACAGACAGGTAGGCCAGGGGTCGTTTACAGTGTTCATGAATACGAAGAGGCTTATTTACCCTCTAATGACGACTTTGTTTGCTAAGTACACACAAGTTGATGTTGCGTGGTTCCTCCGCAGAGGCTGATTGTGTGCCTGGAAGAGTCGCTCTATATTCACAACATCAGAGACATGAAAGTGCTGCACACTATTAGAGAGACTCCGCCTAACCCTTCAGGTGAGTCTGAAGAAACAGTCTGTCATCATCATCATCATATAAATAGGAAAATATAGTGAATGTAATATGTGCTTTTTATAAAAGTTTACCCTTTTTTCCACTTTACATGTATGTGCTTGTATTGGGCCTCATCGTGAATATTTAGAAATGTACAAATCTAGTTTTTCATTTTAAAATGAAAGGGAAAAAATCTTGGGCCTCCATGACTGTATGTAGATCTGGACTGTAGCATAGGTTTAAAAACGAATGAATAAAACTAATCAAAAGAGAATAAAGAGCTGGAGTGAAAGGACCATCTGTTCAGTTAGCCCAAGATTCATACGTAGCTATTCAAAATTTGTTTGCAGAGTACGACTCAGATTTGTGCGTAACGTGTGCTCACGCGGTTTATGAGCGAGGCCCACTGAAAGCAGTAATATGACTTTCTCGTATCAGCTGAGAAGTGTCTCCACTTTCATTTTCTCAGTTTATTTTGAACAGCGTTGTTTTGTCTGCCACTCTCAACACTAAGACTTCATTTCTTCTCCTCTTTTCTTTTAATGTTACCGATACCATTGTTGTAGTTGGTTGTGTTGACACGTTTTGTTTTTTCTCTCCATCTTTTTTTTTACTGATTAGTTTGTCTTTGTGCTCGTATCTCTCCAGGATTGTGTGCCCTTTCCATCAGCAATGATAACTGTTACCTGGCATACCCAGGCAGTGCTACGATAGGAGAGGTCCAAGTGTTTGACACAGTCAACTTGGTAGGTGAACCCAGACAATGATACTTTATGTGCTCCTGTTTTTAAATAAAGCCATCATCAGGATTTATTACAAAGCATTTTCCGGGGCATACGCTTGCTGTGCCACAGTAGTGTTTCAGTTTCTGACGAATGTCTGCGTAGATACTCAGTCGTCCAGGTCATGGTAGCTTTGAGTGCTTGAAAAGAAATCAGCTGGATTTCTTTAGGTTCATCAAAGAGGCTTCTTCAGTTTTAAAACTACTTGGGCTGAGAGGTGTTTAACACCTAGTGGGGGTTTTCCACTAAGGGTTGTTGTTAATCATCAGCCAAGTTGTGAAAAAAGACTGGGTCATTACCATCACCGAAGTGTGAAACCTCCGTCAGCCACTGCCCCGCCCAACCATTGTGTGGCTGCTGAGGTCTCCTGAGGCACAGTGTGAGTGCGAGCGGGGGTTGAACAGCCTGTAACAGCAGATGTAGTCGCTCTAGTCGGGGCACAGAGCCGTCTGCCTGCAGAGAGCTCTGTTGTCAGATGGAGGCAGTGCTGTTATTGGTCGGTCAGCCAGCTGCAGTGAAGAACCACAGTTAGATTAGATAGAACTTTATTAATCCCTCGGGTGGGTTCCTCTGGGAAATTCGATCCTCGGGTGGGTTGTTGTAGTTATTACTTTTAAAAGCGTTGCTGGTTAATTCAGCTGTCGCTCCCTGATCTAGTCAACCAATCACCATTCAGCAAATACTTAACTCATGCGCTTCCAGCAACACACAGTGATGGAGGAGTCTTGAAGGACTGCATGGCCCCTGTGTCTGACCGGAATCACAAACATGGTTAATTGATGGTCTTTCATAGTGGACGTGGATGACCTCCTTTACTTTTCCATCTTCTCGGCCTAAAATGTGAACATTTGCATCTTTGAAAGAGCGACCTTTGTCTTTAAAGTGCAGGCTTAGAGTTGAGTCTTTTCCTCTTCAGCTGGTTCTCCTGTGTTGTGCCGTGTGTTTTGTAAATTGGTGGTTTGGCTTCTCTTATATAAAGGTCTGAGCACTCCTGCAGTGCTTATTGTGCGTTTGGCTGTTTTTGTCTGAAGGTGTTTCTGGGCCTGAAAGCAGGTTTGTAAAGTAGTTAATCTGTGTGTCGTTTTCCAGAGAGCAGCAAATATGATTCCAGCCCACGACAGCCCATTAGCGGCTCTGGCTTTCGATGCTACTGGAACTAAGCTGGCTACAGCATCAGAGAAGGTAGTTCAGCTGCTGTGCAGGACATTACCCTGTCATCTCCGCAGCTAATTTTGTTTTCCACATGAGGAAATGCAGATTTTGATTCTTGCATCCTGTAATAGTGTTGCAACTCTGTACACCTTGTGCCTTTTTTTTTTTTTCACTTCCTCTCAGGGTACAGTCATCCGTGTCTTCTCGATCCCAGAGGGACAGAAGCTCTTTGAGTTTCGACGAGGAGTCAAGAGGTAGACGGCTCATGCACTGCAGTTTTGATTCTTCGTAACATCTGTGCACGCTTTTGTACGCGTTTACCATCTCCTCTGTGCACGTGTGTTGCCGTGCTTGTCTTCTCAGGTGCGTGAGCATCTGTTCGCTGGCGTTCAGTATGGACAGCCTGTACCTTTCTGCCTCCAGCAACACAGAGACGGTCCACATCTTCAAATTAGAAACACAGAAGGAGAAGTATGTGTACGTAGCTGTCTGTCTTTGGATGGCTTGTTTCGTAGCCACTTATCAAGCTGCTGCTTCCTCCAACGAAAACATGCATCTCACATTCTGTACGTGTTCGCTCAGGCCAGCCGAGGAGCCCACCACGTGGGGAGGTTACCTGGGGAAGGTCTTGATGGCGTCCACCACCTACCTGCCTTCCCAAGTCACGGAAATGTTTACCCAGGGGCGAGCCTTCGCCACTGTACGTCTACCCTTTTGCGGGCATAAGAATATCTGCGCCTTAGCTGTGTGAGTACACACTTTCCACACTCGCAGTGAGCACAAATGCAACACTGCGTTTGAGACATTATGAAATTGTTACTTCTTATCACGCCAGAGAAAAGGGGGGAAAAAATGTGAAGTAGCGTTGACTGAATTTACAATCACAGGTCATACAAAATTTCTAGCACATTTTATTTACGTTGCACTTTGATTGTAGGAAGTTTTAAAATACTGACTGATTTTAATCTTTGGTCACCTTTGACCTACTTTTTTTTTCAATTTAAAGTTGTAGCGAGTAGTATTAATAATTAATATTAATAATAATCAAAATGAGTTTATACAAGGTGGTTTTCCTGAGGATGTGCAGGCTTCTGTCACTCTGCCTTTGTACAACTTTGTATGGAGAGCTGAAGTTAGTAGCATTTCCATAATAGGTCCTGAGCTTCTGACAGGCACTTAAAATAATGCAAATACTTGAGTAATGTAACATCCGTCATCTCTGCCGCTCCTCATCTGTGTGCCAAGGAATCAGAGGAGGAATCTAAGAATAGGAAACTGGAAAATATTAATGAGCTTGTAGGATTCTTATTAGCTGCTTGGTATGTCACATCTGGTGCTGAAGAAGAGAAGATGCTGAAGAGGATAAATGTGATTGACGTGTTGGATTGGATTTGTGGATCTTTCATGAATCTCCATTTTTAATTGTTAAAAATTAGGATTCAGAAGATTCCCAGGTTGCTTGTAGCAGCGGCTGATGGCTACCTGTATATGTACAACCTGGATCCACAAGAGGGAGGCGAATGCACACTAACGAAGCAGCACAGGTAACACAGCATTGGCAGATTGTGGCTCGCTTTAGCTGGTAAGGTAAATTTTGGGGAGTTAAACTGAGGATTTCAGTCTTTGGCTTCAGGTTAGACGGGAGTACCGAGCCCCCCAATGAGATCCTTGAGCAGGGGTCACATGATCGCCCACTTGTGGCCCAGACCTACAGTGCTGCTGTCTCAAAGGGTAGGTGACACAGTATTGATATCTTTCTTTCTTTTTTTCTGATTGGGGAAAAAAAGGCAATAGGTAAATAAAAACTAATAATAAAAACGAATAAACTTTTTTCTATTTTGTAAAGATGGCTGTTCTGGAGCGACTATCTGTAATTAAGTTGTGCAGAAAGGCGGGACAAGTTTGGAAGTGATCCAATCAGAAGAAATCTCATCAATGTTTGACTTGTGAACTCTTCTTTCCTAGGTTACTGTGAAGAGCAGGGCGCTGTGGGAGGGGTGGGGCTTGACGACGACCTCAGCGACCTACGCTTAGAGGAAGACAACGAGCAACCGCCGCTCATCCTCGAGACCGAGTGACTGGACTGATGGCTGTACCCACCGATCAGAGGGCTCCTCTGGTGCTGCTAGAGACACGTGACCCCAAAAGGGGCGTGGACAGGATCAAAGATAGAGGCGGGGAGGGGGGAGTGTCTTTGTTTTTCTTTTAAAGTGTTCAAGAGCCTGTCCGCCAGTTTGTTCATGCATCCGTCCGTTCACATACACGTCGTCTTTTTTTTCTCCCCCTCCCCCCCCTCCCGCGCTCCCTCCCGCGCTCCCTCCCGCGCTCCCTTTTCCCTCAGTTTAGCCTGAGCAGGCCAAACTGAAGCTTTGCATGTACATGTGCCAAAAGCTTAAGTGTGAAAATGAGTATCTGAGAGTGTGAGTGTCATTTAAAAAAATAAAAAATGTAGCTGTGTCGCTGTTAAAGACACTCTCACACACACAGCGAGCCTGTGTGTGTGAGTAGAAACCGATTGTGTAAGTGCCTCTCTGCCCTTGCTGTGATGGCTTTTTTGTGTTTGAGAGGGGCGACCTCTTTTCATTGGCTGAATAAAATCTTCTTTCATTTGTTCAATCTTAATTGAGGGTGTGTGCTATCTTTTCTGACCCCTTCCCCTCTCTCTCTCTCTCTCTCACACACACACACACTTTCTTGTGCACTGTCCTGCAGAGGGCGGGGCATCAGTCTAAGGTTTTTGGCATGAGGCAGAGGTGTTGACAAATATGTGTTTGTTTGTTTGCTTGCGTGCGTGCGTGTGTGTGTGTGCTCGGGCATGTACATTAGCAAACCATCTAGTCATGAGCTTATACACCTGCCCCTGCTCACTTTACCTCATCCAAACAAGAGGCTCAGTGGACCTTCTCCTGCCCTCTCCCTGTCCTCAGGCCTGCAGTCATTGGTTAATTTTTAAACTATCAATCTTGGGTTTTTTTTAAACTACATAGCTAATCATAACCAATGATGTGTCATGCGTATGAAAACATGCATGGTGTTGTTGATGTGGTACTGTGTCCATACATCTAAGCGGTGGTTGGTGATGATCGACGGAGAAAGGCAGGAAGCTCTCCGGTCTCCTCTTAACAACTCATCCTACTGTATCTTACTCTGTACATTATTAGATGTGGCGAGATATCACTGTGTCACGCAGGGATAGTGAGTGTTTGGCCAACGAGCAAGCTGAGCATCGTCATTCGATTGTGATCTGGAGGTCGGGCTGAGCCTCATCATCTGGGCCGGGATGCTGCATGATTCCCCAAATAATCCTTTTCAGTGTGTGAAGCCACCAAGTAAGGATTAGATGTGGGAGTTTGGAGTGTCAGGCATTTTCTAATGATTTTGTATAAAATGTGAAACGTTCATCTGAAACTAAAATAAATTCATGTTGATGTATGAAGTTAAGTGCCTTTTGTTCTTGTTGCACTGGCATCTTGCATTCATTATAAAGAGCATCTTAGGCCAACTGAATGGGAGGATGTGTTACCCAGCATCACAGCTACTGGAGCAATAGAAGTCAGGTAAAATCCAGTTTTTATTTTATTTGTTTTTAAGCATCGGAATTTTATACTTTTAGGTGTTACCACATAATTTCAGACATCCTCTATGCCACACTGTAATATTACTATAATATGTATGTGAAAGAATGACTCCTGCTAAGCAGAAACCTTTGACCCACAGACCAGAACGCCCGAGTGAGAGCAGTGTGCTGTAACATAACATCGCATCTAAAAAATAGACCTGCCTCCCATCTCAGTTTAATGCCCTTCCTACTAAAAGAGCATGGGGATGTGCGCATGCTCTGTACATGTCAGTGCTGACTTCATGTGGGACTCGAGCCCTGCCCGTGTAGGTGAAAAATAATTTTTAGCTTTCCATTGCACAACCACATGTGGCTTTGTTTTTTATAGTACCCCATGTTGCTCATATGTGATGTGGGTTCCCCTTTCCAACTGCCTCAGTCAGAATATGCTTTTTTTCCTTTTCTTTTTTTGGGGAGGGGGGTAATGCCAAGAGCCATAATGTCAAAGTTATCCTGACAGTACAAAAGCAATACTTACACCCTTACTTTTTCCACATGACATAGCAGCCAGGTGCTGAAAATCAAATGCACTTCATTAACTGATCATCGGCAAGTGTGAGCACCTATAAAAGGAGAATTTTTTGGCACTGTGTGTTAATACAATGCCACAAACTTGAACTTCAAAGTAGTCCAGATTTAATATTATGCAGTGGGACGATGAGCTGAAGAACAGCAGCAAATCTACAACAGGATGGTGCTGCAATGGTCCAGTGAAAGTCCAGACCTCAACCTGATCGAAATGTTATGGTGAGATCTTCAGAGAGCTGTGCATGAACAAATGCTCCAAAACCTCATTTTTCTCTGTATTATCGTAGGCACCTGTTGTTTTGATTTGGTACTATAGAAATGAAATTGAACTGAATTACACATTTCATGTAACATTTCAGGACGTGAAGGAGCCATTTGTCAGAATCTTTTGTAGACACTTTAAACGCTACCACTTTAAAGGAAAGTCGACCAAATCTGAATCACCTACAAGGAAAAAATAAATAAATACAATAAGATACAAATTTTCTGCTACTAGAGTAATAATGTGCTCAAGAACTTGCTTCATTGCAGCTTATTGAACTTTGCAGCAGGTCACACACACTCACACGCGAGGGTGGACTCTATCCTTGACTTGAGACCACAGCTTTAGCCACTCCTTCCTAGAGGGCTTATGCACCAACGCTGAGATGATATAAATCACATTCCACATGTACAGAAAAACATTTCAAACATTTTTCTGCTATGTTAATCGACAATACAGGATCTAAAAGTTTTGCAAAACTTTAAGAGCAACAACCAAAGCCCCAAACCCGATGTTCCACAAAAACACATACAGTACATTTACGGCACATCAGCAAAAACATCAACAGCATGCAGGCTATTTCCTAAGACTACACTGATTATGACTATCAGTGATGTTAAAGACTCTTGATAGTTTAAGACCTTGTTCACCACTTCCTGTCAGGGTCATCTCTGCCATTTCAGCCCGTTCCTCAGCATCGTCCAGGTCATGGACGGTCTTCATGTATTTAAACAGGCTGCTGTTGGCCTGCTATTCTTACAGAAACACACAAATTAGCTGCCAGCTCCAGCACCAACCTTCTTCCACCTGGAAACACACACACACACACACTGTGTCTGCTTTCTTTCACTCATGTCACATGTCAAATCTTAAACCTTTCTAAATAACATCATAATATTTTTTAAAACACTGGGAAAATAAGGCACATCCTCAACTTCCAGTGAAGCTTCAGCCTCCTCCAGAGTCATCTGCAGCTCCTCTTTCTCCACCTCCACATTCTTCTTGGCTTGTGGACGCTGCGGCCTCCTTCCCCAAGCTGACAGTCAACTCCTTGATCTCCTCTGAAACGCAATGGCACAGAAATAAAAACACAACAGTTAACACTGAGAATCATATTTTCCTTTCTTCAAATGCTTGCAAGTTATGATCAGCTGTAATGGACAAGTTAGAAAGCACCTGAGAGGGTTTTGTTCTCCTTGCAGACAGTCATCAAGTGATCCTGGCTTTCCGTCTCCAGCATGTAGATCTCCATCATGTAGGAGCGGCTCTCCATCTGGCTGTTCTCCAGTTCCAGTTGCAGCTCCTCATCCTTCTGGCTCCACTCGGCTGCCATCTTATGGAAAACTCCCGGCTTCTTATCCAGAGCTGCCTCATTGGACTGCTTACACAAAGGCAGACATAGCAAACTCAGTTAGTTAGATTCATTATTATTATTAATTGTTGCTGATATATCATTACAGAAAGCATTAATATAATAAAGAAGTGCATTATCCACACAAAAGGTGAGGATAACTGGATCAGAAATTAGTTGGGTAACTAAGTTTCTAAGTAATAGCTTTGAATAATCAGACGTTCCAGCATTGCTCTTGTTTCCAGTGCTGTTGAAAACACTTTGCTTGTTTATTGGAATTTTGCCTCTTGACTGCTCTCTGCTGGATTTGTTTGTTAGCAACTAACCTCATGTGCATGACCTCTGCCGTGTAATAGCCTCTGGTGCTTCTGTGTCCTGTACACATTGAGATTTTGTTTTTGTGCATGTGTACCTTCTCTAGGTCTATAGTGAAGTCCTCCATCTCTCCCTGCAACCTCTGCTTGACCTTTTCCAGGCTGGCAGCTCTGGCCTGAGCCGCCTCTGCTGCCTCCTCAGCCTCCTGGAGATGCACTGCAAGTTTGCGCCTGGGAGAGAGTGGGAGGAAAGAACCAGAGTGGAATTTAAATTAAAATTTTATCACTGTCATGATTCATAAGACTCTTTTTTTTAAATTCTTTTGAACCTACTTGGTCTCCTCCAGCTCCTCGGTGCGGCGTATGGCGTCTCATACTTGCTCCTCCATGTGGTGACGTCAGCAGTGAGCTTGGACACAAGACGCTGGATCTCCCCACGGGATTCTAACTCCTCATCCAGCTGCTCCTTTAACTGCAAGAGATCATGCAGGGCATTCACCAGGCTGAGTTATGAGCCTGTGGATAGGTAGTCTGGATGGAGAGGTGGAGAGGCAAATGCATGATGCATCCAGCTCAACAAGGAACAGTAACGCATGCATCCGCATTCTCACCAGTCAGATGGATTTTGCCAGCACTGAGCTCTGTCTGAGTGCGCTCCATCTCAGCCAGGTGAGCGTTTGCCTCCGACACGCTGTCCTCCACTTTGTGGGCCTCAGAGTTCATCTATAAGAGTGGCTGAGCGTCTATGTTTGTGGCTGTTTTATTTTGAAAGAGTTAAGCACACAAGAGTCTAAAGATCTAGCTTTGCTTTCTGAGCAGCTTTCACGGTGACGTTGAGATCTCCCGCTTCTTCCGGTCTGTCACTGAGGTCCACCAGATCTCATGACAGCTCTGCTCTCTGCTTCTCTACCTAACAGGAAAACAACTTGACTCTCTAGCTGTAGCATAATGTCACATGTCTGCGTATTTTTACTTGAATTCATATGCGTAGTGGTCAGGTATGTATCACGTTTGGACTGAAATAGACTCTCAAAGATGAAACTGCTAGGTAAAGCTGTGATACAAGCTGTCCGTGTGCCTTGGCTCTCATGGCTCGTTCAGCTTCCAGCTCCTCCTCCAGCTCCTCGATGCGTCCCTGAAAGAGGATAGAAAACGAATCAACGCGTGCATAAGCACTCACAGCAAAAACCTTGCGT